TCTTGACGTTGTTTGTGACAAAATAAACACCTTTTTTATACCCCGTTAATGTGTTGTGTCTCCTTTTTGTTGTGGCCTTCTGAGCCAGGTCGCAATTATATAATATTTACCTTGTTCATTAAAAAAAAATAATATATATATATATTTTTTTTAATATATTTTTTTATTTAAATGTTTAATGTGGGAAGACGTGGGGCGGCGCCCCTATGGGCCGGCCGCCACTGACTGAATGCAGTACTTTCACCTAAACTTTTCAGATGTTTTTTCGCGGTTACATAATTAGTAAATCAATTGAACATGATCTCTTCAAATCAATGTCATTTCTGTATTTCTGAATGGTTCATTCAACCGGCTCACTGATCATGTTGTTCACTGAAGGATCCACTAGGTGTCAGTCTTAGTTTGTTTCAGCAACATCATTACTTCTCTGATGAGATCACATTGTTGGATCACACTTTGTTGCTCAAAAATAATAATAATAATACAAATAATAATAATAATAGCACTACACTAATAAGCAATACTAATAATGATACAAATAATACTAATGACGATAATAATAACTAGTCATCATTTTTGGCTTCTAATGAAATTGAAGGAAAATCATTATCTGCAGCTAAAATGTTTGATCACATTATTCAATATTACAATCTGCAAATAAAGTAAGTTGAAGGTTGACACACACACACACACACACAGATTGGAGGGAGTGGTTCAGTGCGCCAGCATCCAAAGAGTTAAACTGGCTGTTGTTGAACGCACCATCCATCCGGGGCTGTGTCGCTAAGGCAAGAGAGGCTACTTGTGAAGAAAGCAACAGATCCCCAGCTGGAAAACAACAGCACATCTGGCATGCGAACTGAACAGGAAGAACTGGAGGAATAGCTCAACTCGAGTGAATAAATGGTCGTTTAGAAAGCTTGCTCATTTTTTGTGGAGAAGAGAAAAGTTATCAGGAATAGTTCATTTTGGCGTTGCAGAATTTGGATAACATTTCTAAAAGGAGGCGAGGAGTGACACATTACTTCAGAGGCACGAAGCCTGCTGTGCGTAATTTGACATTTCTTTTTGCAAAATGAGCGGAAAATCATAAGTGCAACACCTTGAAGCATTCATTTAAGTAACATTGTGCAACCTGTTCGACAAACAACATTTAAAAACAGCTGCGTTTTGTTCCAACACCAGGCGGAGTTTTGTAACAGGTGGTTTTTATTGAGCGTCTCACTTTTGCGCTGTCTCCATCAGACAGTTGTTTCTTTGCATAAATGACACGCACAGGTCAGTATCAGGACTGGGGTCTGAAATGAGGGCTCTTTTGGCAATATTTATTTGATTTTTGTCGGATTGGACAACATCTTGTAAGGTAGGCCAGAAGGTCCTTGCTTCTAAATGATAAGCTCGGTGTGTGTTTCGTCTTACCGGGGGCGCAAGGCAGGCAACAAACCTCCGTCTAAAACATGTCTGAAGGAGGAGATGTTCAGAGGGGAAGACTCGGAAAAAATTACCATCAACGTGGGTGGCACTCGACATGAAACGTACAAAAGCACCCTAAGGACCCTGCCGGGGACCCGCCTGGCCTGGCTGGCGGACCCGGACCCGCAGGTCAGCTCTGACTCGGAAGCTGCGACCCCGAGCGCCGAGCTCTTCTTCGACAGACATCCGGGTATCTTCGCCTATGTGCTCAACTACTACCGGACCGGCAAGCTACACTGCCCGGCCGACGTGTGCGGGCCCCTCTTCGAGGAGGAGCTGGCGTTTTGGGGGATTGACGAGACCGACGTGGAGCCGTGCTGCTGGATGACTTACCGGCAACACCGGGACGCGGAGGAAGCCTTGGAGACGTTTGAACCCCCCGACCCGGACACCGACGACGACAGAGACATGCCGAGACGGTTCGGCATCGAGGACTGTCCGGACAGGTCGAGGAGCTGCTGCGAAGTTTGGCAGCCTAAGGTCTGGGCCCTGTTTGACGACCCTTACTCCTCCAAAGCAGCCAGGGTGAGTTTTCTCCTTAGTGCGCTCTAATGGGCACATGAGACCATAACACCACTAAGCTCAAACGTTCTCCTATCATCAACAGGTGTCCCTAGCAAGCCTTCCCTTAAGTCTGTTATGTTTGCTTTATGTGACATATATCTGCGTTTTGTAAACATTTTTCTCGTCCAGTTTTTGATCCTTGAAGAGTAAGATTGCTCTACATGTTGTTGTTAAACTTCTAGCCTGTTGTGTGAAGGGTCAGCAGCTCCATTTCATTTCAATAACTTAATTTCTATGATTTACTTATTACAAACAAGCTTACTGAGTCCTTATATACAATCAACACAGGACATGATAAAACCATTTAAAAAAAAAATACTAGCAGCAGTCTGCCATACTGGTTACGCTTTACGCCTAAGTGGACTAAAATGTTACCGTCGTTAAGTTGTAAAGTCTACCCACTTAACATCGCAACATGTTCAGGCAAGTGTAGAAATGACAGCCTAGTCTGGTGAGGTTTTGTTAATGTGGTTATTTGTATGGAAAATGCAAAGTACAGGTCTGCTTCCTGGTCACAGTTGATATTTTTATGTCTGTTTCACCTATTTCCAAGAACAGTTATAAACTCACCCATGCATCAACCAGGGCTCTTATCTGAACATCCTATAAAGACTTGCACATTTTAAATCCTCAATATAAATGTGGTGACCCCTCTCCACATATGGTTGTGTTCTTTTGGTTCTGACAAGGTACAAAAATGGTACTTTAGGTAATTGGGAGGCGTGTGGCGTAGTGGATAGAGCCTTGGTGTTGGGTTCAGGGGGTCACAGGTTCAAACCCCACTGCAGTCAACATGTCGTTGTGTCCCTGGGCAAGACACTTCACCCCAAATTTCTCCTGTGGGGATTGCCCACAGTATTGAGTATGTACGTCGCTTTGGATAAAAGCGTCTAACAAGTAACATGTAATGTAATAGCCAGGTCCATCAGAAAACGTTTCCCCGGTTTAGGAGTGCAGAGAGCCCTGATCTCAACCCCTTCCCACACATTAGTGGTGACCTGGAGCACAGACTTTGAGCCAGGCCAATTAAGGCCTAAGTAATGCTCTTATTGTGTGGATCTGCACACCATGCAAACATATTAGGGAAATCCTTCCCAGAATAGCGGAGACTGGTTAAACAGCTTATTAATAGTTGCAATTTTGGAATGAGATGTTAAACAATCAAATATCTCCAGTGATTTACATTTTTGGTTTTACTTTGTCATTGTGCTTCCAAAGAACCCACTGCTGTATGTGCAGTAAAATGAGTGTGCAATTAACCATTTATTATATTAAAATATATATTGTTTTCTAGTCTTGGCAAAAACTCTTCTGACAGACATTTACATTTGAATATCCCATGTATTCACTAATGCTTGGGGCAACTATTACTAGGATTCCTTATAAGAGAACCCAAAAAACCAACAGAAAATAGAATATACGACAAGGGCTTGGGAGGAGGAATGCTGTGTTAAAAAGAACTGTAAACACCATTCACAGAAAAAGAGCATATGAAAATTAAATAGATTTGACCATGTTTCTTTGGACACCTTTATGAAACATGTTATGCACGACAAAATGTTAGTGAACAAGATCATTAGAAACAAATCACAACATATCTGGCTGATAAATCAAAATTCAATATGTTTTTTGAGGGGCCTTAGTTCTCAAAGACCCCAAAAGGAATATTAAAGTTAATCTAGAGTTACTTTGTGCTAATAATGCTAATCAACTCTTACTCCGCACCTTTGTTTTTCGGCACCAATTGTACCAAAATGCTGCAAAAAGATAAAAATGCTGTTTCATGAAAAAAGTGCTGCAGGACTGAAGTGTTCCCACACATCTCATTCAAGGTTTGCACTCAGAGGTCCTCAAAACACTAGTGTTTGAAAGGTCACTGTTGTGTACATCCATGTGCAATAAATCATGCTGTATATTAAACAGAAGATGATGTCCGACTAAGTTTACAGGCAAAGATAAATGGATCCCACCATTCAGAAACTTAATCTACCATGTTGAGAGAGACATACTGCCCTGTTTTAAGTGGCTTGTGTTTAGTGAATAATATATTATTCAAAATCATGTCTTAAGTGTTTGATATGTCTTTATGATTTTAATATTCACTTCCCTTAAAATACATTTAAATGTTTCTGATTGTATCATGATGCAAAATATGCATTTATGTTTGGTATGTTTGCAATCTTTCCAATTAAAAATAATTTTGCTCTCATTTGTTCCTCAATGGAAATCACCCATTTGTAAGCATCAGAAAGAAGCCTGCCTAATGGCTTAGCAACAAAAGCAAGAGTGCCTAATAAAGTCAACGTAATAGCAAAGTATCGAGTATCACCATAGCACAAGCTTTCAAGGCAAAGAGCCAGGAGCTTTCACTGGTCAAAAAAAACAAAAAAACATTTAATCCAGACAGAGAAAGGCTGATTCTCACTGTCATTTCGGTTTGCCTACTTTTGGAGTTTGAATGGTCTATTCAGAGACTCCCGCAGCGGAAGTGTAGTCTTCTTATTGCATGCCAATCACAATTCAAATAGTGTTTATTTTAGCTTCTCGTCCAGGTGGCATTTGCAGACTGTCACTGTGGAACAGCTGACATCTCTGAGTCACAGCTGCCATCTGAAGATGCTCTGCCTGCCAGTTCATCACGTCTCCCACCACCCAATATTTGCAAATGAATCAATAAGGATTTGTGAAGTTCTACGTGGCATATAGATGTGAATCTGGAAGTATGTAGTAAGAATGCATACACATATTGACCCGGTCATAATGTTCTTTGTCCATTTCCTCTCCAGACCATTCATGTACATATGTTTGCTCTGTGCATTCTGAGAGGATGCCGAGTGCTTTTCGAGAGACTCACGTTACCTTTATGGCCTTTTTATTTCACAGAGCCTCCGTGCTCGTCTCAGGTAATGTGATTCTTGAAAGCCGTAGGGAAGTTAATCAGTCCATCATTTAAAGCCACATCCTCCTCACTATCAACCAAGATTGGAGGTGTAGCTGTTTGAAGTCGGCACATGAAGCCTCTATACTGATGATGGCACCACTCACAAATCATGGATAAGAGAGGTTCTAAATGGACAGCTGCTAATACAGGAGGTACTACAACTCTAATGGCTCTTTACAGCACATTGCATTTTTAATAACACAATGCCTGACTCTTAGCCTAATTTGAAAGTGTTTACCACACAACAGATACACAATGTATGAGATGTAGTCGTTGTCCATGCTAAGTGAACAACAGTTCATTGGGTTCTCTACCTTTTCTCTAGCACCACCATGAAGTGAACTGTTGTGGTTTTGGATTAAATATGTGATGAATACAAATTGCCAGATAGGAATGAATAACTTTGTTTTTCATGTAGCACCATCATCAGGGCAGAGTTTTTTTATATTCTACTTTTGTTAATTGCTTTCCTTTTATTAGATAAAAACGTGAAAGTAACCTTAACTGAAATTGGAAGAAGCATAAAGTAGAACAAAAACCTAAATAGACAAAGGGGGGGTTCAGAATTTTTTTAACGGTATACCATTTTTTTTCGTTATTCAGCAAATGTATATATGAACACTCAAAGCACAGAGCCATTGCAATAAAGAGGATATTATTGTTTTAGTTTTTTTTTTACTAATAAACAGTCTATTTCAGTTGAAAAGACTATGATGTACTAGTCTCTTTGTAGTCTCAGTTTAGTTACATGAAACAATTAGACTTGACAGTAACATTGAGCTCAGACCAGATAACTTGGTTCAATCTTCCCTCATGCAATATTTCATTAATTCCACGGCGCTCCTGCCTGTAATTTATCACCGCTGTGGTAATGGGCTACAACTTGTTATCAGCGGTGAGCAATTAAAAGTGCTTTTCCCACAGAAAAGAGCAACGTTGAAAAGAAAATCAATTTGTCTTTGTTGTGAGACCAAGGGATTAATTGATGTGGGGTTGTTGAGGTTTGATGCACGTTATCTCGAGTCTACACACAAACACCAAATCTATTTGGCAATATAAAACACTAATTTTCTTTAAATTGGTTCAGATGTTGCACATTTATTGTGGATTGGCATTTACATACAGATTTATTTACCACATTAGATAAAGCCACCTTGTTTTCAAATTAGAGATGTTGAAAGACATTCATATTTATTTAATTATTAGATGCTGATTGCTGAATATTAAACTTAACGCGTCACATTTTGCCTCAGAGTGACACCTAGTTGATAAATAATAAGTGTTATGAGCAGAACCTCTGGGCCCGGCTCTCACAGCGCTGACACCTCTTCTCTGCTCTTTGTGAGTGGAGCAGTGGATTTGATTTTTCACACATCAAAGCAGCGCAGCCTCGTTAACGAGACTCTTATAACTCTGAATTCTCAGTAACCCTGTGTGATTATGGTGCTGCTTGTTTAATCTGCTTTGTTCTAAACCTTTGCTGAAAATAGATTGGTTCATGTATTGCTGTGATATCAGTAAATGCATCACAAAGTGGTTGAAACTTTTCTTCCTCATAACTTACTGGAAATATTGTCCAAGCAAAGAGCAATTATTAGTAAAGTGAATTCACATTAAGTTGCAAATCAAATACTAACAATGTGATTTTTAAGTGAATTTTCCCTTTACTAACTAATTTGATGTTGTACATTCATCATATCTACACATAACATATTATTAATCAGTGAAGAAGGTTGACACAGCAGACTCCAGCTTTAAAACTCAGCACGATTGTAGAAAGTATATTTACATGTTAATACAGTCAGTATTTATACAGGCAGGATATATTTGAACCGCTTTGATTTATGATCAATACTGAATGGTTAATTGTTATTCTCCTGCATGCTGAGATCTGGTTTAAACATCCAGCCTTTACTTAAGACTTGTACTTAACATGGCTGTTTTGAATAATTTTGTTTCTTAAAATATCAAAAGTCTGACCTCACCATGCACCTTTATTTTGACTCAGCAACTCCCTCAC